TATGACATACACCAAAAAAATCATTCAAACTGGGATTAGAATTTGATACAGTATATCCATCCCGTTTTCTAACATGCTGTCTATATATTTAACATCCCAATATCTTTCTATGAAAGTGGCCATCATTCAAATAACAATTGGGACCCTATACTCATACCTATTCATAGCCCGCTGTCTATATGTAAACCCAAATAGCCCTGGAGACTGGAACCATATTTATTGATTTACTGGGCTGTTGACAATATGGTCCCGATCGTCATTTGCTGGTCTTCTTCATATAGGATTTTGAGCTGCCTTATCAACAGACGCCATTACTCAAATGATGGTTGAGAACATATAGGGTGTTCATATTGTCTTAAATAATTTCAAAATTGCAAAGGGCCCTCACAGATGTAAAAAATGAAATAAAAATACTTAAACAATTGTTAAGATATGACTTCATATCAAAATTGAAACTGTAAAGGAACTTTATGGACACCCTGTACATCCATCCCTATTATTAATTTGCTATTCAATATTTGAATGGCAATTGAGTGTATATATTTCTGATCTAATACACATGAGCATACCTTTCTTATTATTTTCCCATCTTTTCCGTCTCAAGTCATTAACCAGTAACTTTTTTGATTATTATGGAGTATATTTTCTCTAATCAAAATAAACAGGATTGATTTTTATACTGAAATAATATAATAATGAAAATTAAAAACGATTTTCACCGTTGAGCCTTACTCGGGCAAAAATCCGGTGATCTATTACAGATTGAATAATACAGTAATATGCTATAAATTGATCATATTTTGCTAAAAAAGGAAATTGGACCTCCCAAAGTATGCGCACCAAGATGGCGCACAACCTGAACTCAGGTTGTGTACCAGGTTCGGGTTTAGGTTATGCGACATCTTGGTGCGCATACTTCAGGAGCACCATGAAATTAATATACGACATTGGTATACATACGCCTTTTGTTCTAAGCAAGGCTCTACACAGCAGAGTCGTAGCCAAGAAATTTCAAAGTAGGGGCTCGAGAACTTTTGATTGACAATTTCTACCGTAACAGCAAGCGGGTCCGTGGGTTCCAAGAGTTTTGAGGAATCTAAAAAGCGTTCCAAGCTACGAAAAATTGCTATGTATTTTACATAAAAATGTCTCTTTTATGCATTTTAATAGGAAGGGGGTCTATCTTTGCATCAAATATGACTATTCAGTCTATAACGGCCATAGTTTAATTAATTTTCTCTCGATGTCCTTACCTAAATTCAAAATGCGTTTGAAATCCGCACATAAAAAGCCAACTATACAATAAATGAAAAATTGTTGCAGAAATAAAGTTTAAAATTGAAAGCGGGAATTAAAAAAATAATTATCTAAAATATAATTTAACTGAAAGTATATATGATAACATCCCAGTAGCATATGAAAAGCACCATATTATGTATAGTGTATCCAGCACGAAATGCAAATGTTTGACTGGTTTAAAAAATCATGAACATTAGAAAAACTTATGCTAATGATTTGGTTTCTGCGAGACTAACTACTTATCCTTCTTCTATGTTTTTGTGTTGGCGGATCCGTATGCATATATTGCAAGGATGCTGTAGCAAGAGTAGAGATAACAATCCTAAGTGATTCAAGAGTCTTGCTACACATTAACACAAATATATTTCTGTAACGTTTCGTAGGACCGAGGTCAGACTTCTTCAGACATACATAGACGAAACGGTACAAAAATATATTTTTGTTAGTGTGCAGCAAGACGCTTGCATCCCCTGGATTAGAAAAACTAACTCAGTTTAAATACAAATTGCGTGTTTTACTTTATATCAATGGTTCTCAAACTGCTACCAGCGGGCCAATTACAGTCCACGTAACGATTTAATATGACCCGTCGAACTTGAGTGAAATAGTTTAAAACAGTTTATGTTTCTACTTGTTTGCGTTCTAGATACCTCCGATTGTTACGTCATTATCACAATTTCTGCATGTGTATATTCGTAACAATTAAATTATACCGGTATCCTAATTATACGTACCGTTACCGTCCCCTTAGGGCGCACCCCTCTCCCGGCCCGCGAATATCCTCCCGTTTTCAATTTTGGCCCCGTCAATCAACTTTGGGAACCCCATATTAAGGGCTGTAATAGGTATTGACGGCATTGAAGCATGTGCATGTTTAAATAAACTTCGGAACAAATATGATTTATTGTTTAAAGCCGATAAAGGAGTCGAATTGTATAGCTAACTAAGGACAATTGCCTAGTTACTATACTAAGTCAGATGTGGCAAACCGGTTTATTGGTTTTGGGTTTTTGTTGGTTTTTCACTGTTTTTTGCACGTTTTTTGCAAAGTTTTTGGTTGTTTTTGCAAAGTGTTTTATGGTCTATATAGCTAATCTCGGTCTCTTGCACAGTTACTAGGTCGTATTTATCGTGGCTCAGCCCTAAGAAAATGTCGATATCGAACAGATACTGGCCGTACAAAATTCTACAATTCTGCATGTCGAAAACAAAAAATAATCACTTGTACTATGGAATATAGAGATTAAAATGTAACAATTCAAATGATTAAGCGCATTAATAAACCACGATTGTAGTATCGCAACTTATTTTTGTATGAAATATAATGTTCTGCAATTGCTCTGGTCTTTAGAATAATAATTATGAATATATACAACATAAGGAAGATATAATGGCGAATTGCTTCACTTTGTATTTAAAGTAATACAGACCATTTTTTATCCAATTTTATTTTTTGGGTGACATGTCAAAGTTGGCCGACAATAATTTTATTTCTGTGCTATATGGCCTATAATTTAAAAAATTGAATGAAATATTTAAAATTAAGTCCCAAAATGTCCAATTTTGCGTCACCTTTAATTAATTTTACGTCACCTTCAATGACTCCAATTCTATTAACAGTGCAACATTATGCGGTTGGTATAAAATAAATTAAAATCTGTTCTATTCATATACTATTTAGCTCATAATTTGAAAAATTAAATGCTTTGGTCTTTGAAATAAAAATTATTAATATATATACAAAATAAGGTAACTATAAGAACGATTCTCTTTGATGAATACAGATTGTTTGTTTTCCAACTTTATTTTAGTTTTATCAGTTAGTCTAAAATAAATTCTGTTTATTTCTGTGTCAATGACACCTTCTATAAAAATATGTTGATATATTTCTCCAATTATATTTTAAGGGCAACGATATGCGGCTGCTGACAAACAAATTTTGTTTTATTTCTGTGGTATGCTATGCGGCACAGATTTCGGAAACTAAAATAAAATGTGAATGAGCGCGTAAATTTGAAAAATTATATTAAAGTTTCAGATCTCAATTCCCAAAAATACATTGTAGTTTTCTTGTCACCCCCGAAGACAAATATCTTAATACTGATAAAAGTTTCAATTTCCAAAATCCAATGCGATTTTACGTCATCTCCTATATAAAAAAATATGTTAATACATTTCCCCAATTATATTTTTAGTATTATGCTAAAGTATATTATCATATACTATACTATAATACTATATTCCTGTGATGTGTAGCACAGACTTTGAAAATAAAATAAAAAATGAAATTTTGAATGAGCGCATCAACACTAAATCAATTTAGCACCATCTTCGCGCATGTCACTAATACAAAAAAGGGGAAGATGAATCAGAATTTGAAAAATTAAATTAAAGTCTCAAATTTTAATTCTTAAAAATCAGCTTACGTCAGCTTCAACGACAAATATATTGAATAAAAATACGACGGAATTTACATACAGGTTGTCCATAAAGTCCCTTTACAATTTCAATTTTGTTATGAAGTCAGTTCTCAATATATCTCATTCAGGTTTGTTGATTTTAATCAGTAATTGTTTAAGTATTTTCTACGTCTTCTATGAGGGCCAAAACAATATATGGTATAATATATGGAATAAATTCCCATTTGCAATTTTGAAAAAAAATTCAGACTTTACGGACACCGTATATTTCTCGTTTGCAACATCTCTCAATCCTTCTCATATCAGACATTTTTTAAAATTTGGTGCACTTATGGACAGCATTTTCTAAATGATATATGAATGGTAATATTCTGGCTAGAACGAATACTGAGAAAGCAATTTCTAAGCTGATACAGCTCAGTAATAATGGTTAAAATCAGGAAAAGGAATGTTATTTAAAATTGTCAGTTTGCGATGTTAGAAATAGGCACTAAAATTTGCCCACTTATTTTTAAAACATAATTTTCAAAAAATTTGAATAAAACAAAAATTCTGCGTGAAATAAAACAGTAATTTCTGTCTGTGACGTCATCAAATTCATGACGTATTCATGAGAAAAATTCTGGATATGCCACATTATGGAGAATTGTAACTAAAATATTTTGAATCAAACAGTAATTTTTTCCGGTGATGTCATCAAATTCATGACGTACAATAAAATTGTGGTTATGCCACATTATGGCAGGTCATGAATAAAATATTTTCAAATATTAATAAAAAGAATAGACGAATCTGAATATTGATAAATACTAAATATCTGATAGTTTACAATGAAAATCTATCTTTATGTCGAGAATTCATTCAGATTTCGATATATATTGGATGATTACCTACAAATACTAGTTATCGGTTTTTTATTTTTACAAATAAAAACTTCCGAGGGTTTTAACGAAAATGGGGCGAATGTTGAAAATTTATTTGATGAAATTACGAAGAAAAAACTACTTTTTGAGCCAGATTTTTTCTAATCATAGTTTGGAGCGGAGGTCACTATATTGAGTCAATAAAGAGTTACAGAAGTTTAATAATCAAAAATATAATTGCTTCTTATTTTCTAAATACAGTTTTTATATCATTTTTGGGACCACCAGAAGTATGCGCACCAAGATGGCGCACAACCTGAACACAGTATGTGTGTGTACCGGTTAGGGTTCAGGTTGTGCGACATCTTGATGCGCATACTTCTGGAGCACCCATTTTTGAATTGAAACTCCTGAATTGTAATAATTATAAATTATAAATGATTATTTGACAAAATTTATGATAAATTTGATGCTTTTTTCTAAAAGTGAAGACCAATTTTTATCCTGAATTCAATTAATTTTACTTTTTTGATTAAATTGGTGACTGTCTGGGAGTATACCCAGATGCCTGATTTGCTTTCAATTGCTGAATTTCTTTCTGAAGTTGCACGATGTGGACAAGCAGCTCGCAAGCTACAATATGCGGAGGCACGTGCTCTGGATCTGAAATATCTCGCAGAAATCCGGGAACTTCCGAACCGGATGTTTGAAGTTCCTCAGCGAGAGCTTGTGGTGGAGGGTAGACCTGTGTATGAATTAGAATGATTATGTTATTTTTTAAACGTCCAAATATGACTTTAGGCTAGGTACAATTTTGATGTAGTGTGTAAAATTAAAGCAATATGTTCTAATATCTGACTGTCTAAAGATGACATGGTCAAACTACGACCCGCGGGCCAAATTTGTCCCGTTGGGTGATTCAATCTGGCCCCCTGATGCTGCCACAACCAAACTTAAACCAAATTTGATGTTTTAGCTCAGGGTGGTCCAAGGTTGTCAGCTCCGCGGGCCACAAAATTATTTTTGCATTGTTCGCGGGCCACAATAGTGCCAAGAATAGATGAACAGTGCAATACAAAACAAACATTTTTATTGTGCATACACATGGTTATCAGGCCTAAATATTCTAGACCAATAGAATGCGCATTTGATTTTTAGATTTCTAGGATGCTATATTGTTAGCATATATTCCCTACCAAAAAGTTAGAAAGCCAGATAACAATTTAGACTGCCAAGCACATTATTCAACTTCGCAAAGTGCCTCAGCTAGCCACAACACTATTTAATTCAGTGACATCAGTGATGACAATATTTCAAGAGATTTTCTGATCAATTTTATGACGAAACAACACGAAATGCGATTTTTTTATTGCTCTCCGAATGTGACGCGGGCCACAGATAATGAAGCGGCGGGCCACATGTGGCCCGCGGGCCTGAGTTTGGAATATTGATAAATACTAAATATCTGATAGTTTAGAATGAAAATCTATCTTTATGTCGAGAATTCATTCAGATTTCGATATATATTGGATGGTTACCTACAAATACTGGTTATCGGTTTTTTATTTTTACAAATAAAAACTTCCGAGGGTTTTAACGAAAATGGGGCGAATGTTGAAAATTTATTTGATGAAATTACAAAGAAAAAACTACTTTTTGAGCTCGCTTTTTTCTAATCATAGTTTGGAGCGGGAGTCACTATAACGAGTCAATAAAGAGTTACAGAAGTTTAATAATCAAAAATATATTTGCTTCTTATTTTCTAAATACGGTTTTTATATCATTAGAAGTTAAGCTGCAAAAAAACGATCTCAAATTATTGGAATGCTCAAGTAAGTCGACACATATATACATATATATTGTCAATGTAACAAAGTTTCCCGCCAAAAATGAGTATAAATGAATATTTGACAAAATTTGTGCTAAATTTGATGCTTTTTTCTAAAAGTGATGACCAATTTACCAAATGCGATTTTTTTATTGCTCTCCGAATGTGACGCGGGCCACAGATAATGAAGCGGCGGGCCACATGTGGCCCGCGGGCCTGAGTTTGGACCACTCTGTTTTAGCTCAAGGAATTTCATTTGATTGCAGATTAAATTTAGTTTTTACACGAGGCCTATTGTTTTCCATTTTTGCTTTTATAACACTGTAAATATTGTTCATAAAATGTAATTTTTACGTCAAACTTACATGGCCCGTAATTCTAGATGGGCCAAATCTTTGGCCTCTGGTCCAAAAACTTTGTTCACCCCTGCTCTAGAGTCAGTAAAGCTAGAACTCTACAAAGACACCAAATTGGCATTTAACTTTTTTTGCAAATAATGGGAAAAGAAGTTTTGCATGTTGTTTTAGGACAATTTTACCAGGAGCGATCATCTCTTAATTTGTGATTCGAGAAACAATTTATTGAAAATCGTATTTTGACTATAAACTATAATGCTGCATGACATTTATTATTTAAAAACTGCGGCCCTAAACAAACCTCAAATTTAGCAGAAATGGTTATATGAAGGTGAAGCAAAACAAAAGCGCGATGCTTGCATATTTCAATTGTTTTCAGCCTTTTTGGTATATCGGAACCCTAAAGAAAAATTGCAGAGACTTGAGGGAACCCATGTGCAATAGTTTAATCCAGTGCTCTTCAACCGGGTATACGGTATACCAAAGTGTATACCAGACCATATACCAGACCATACAACTGATAAACGGTATACGAAGGGTATACAGCCTAAGTCAGGGGTTCTAAACTCTAATATAATAATAAATCATAAAATATTCAAGCGGAGACAACAATGCAAACGCGGCGCGCATCAAATATAAAAATGTCATTCACGCAAAGAACCGACGTGAGCACATTGTTACATCATAAATTATATAGATAATGCAGTCACATGTCTGGGTTGGTCGCCAGTCAAATTTATACCTTGCCGACACCAGCCTATTAGATTGCACGATGATGTTGCAGTATAATATGTGCTTAAAATATAATGTTAAATAAACATTGGAATTTGTAGGGTATACAAAGTTCTTGAAAAATTGTAAAAGGTATACCACGATAAAAAAGGTTGAAGAACACTGGTTTAATTGTCTCATATCGTCTGTATTGTACAAATATACATAATATTGGTATTCCCGTTTTATGTTATTGTGGTTAGGTCATAATTGTATTCCGATTTTAGTTCTATTACGAGTTCCGGGACTGTCCGTGTTAGCCCTGCCCACCCATAGGTTTCAGTCCCTTTACAGTTTACACAACTTGATGTAAAGTATGCGAACAGAATTAGTTACCTCCAAATTGGCACACATACTTCTGGAGCGCGGTAAAATCAAACCTAACTCGCCTACGGCCGAAACAAATCGACTTTAATGATTGCGGCAAACCTAATAGGTATTGAACAAATTTGAACAATATACATATATTAATATGAACTCTCTTTGGGACAATGGGCCAATGATTTCAACCTTTTTGCTGGAGAAGAATCTCAAGTCATTAAGGTGGAAATTTTCGTCATGGCGACGTTGAAAAAGCTAAGCTGTCAAATAGCGTCAGTCGAGAAATGTTTAAATGGCATTCCACCGTAAGTCAATACTGTTAAAAAAAGTCGGTCGTAAAATGTTCAATACTGTTAAAAAAAAAGTAAGTCGTGAAATGTTTAAATGGCATTCCACCGTAAGTCAATACTGTTAAAAAAAGTTGGTCGTAAAATGTTTAAATGGCATTTCACCGTAAGTCAATACTGTTAAAAAAAGTCAGTCGTGGAATGTTTAAATGGCATTCTACCGTAAGTAAATACTGTTAAAAAAAGTCAGTCGTTGAAATGTTTAAATGGCATTCCACGGTAAGTCAATACTGTAAAGAAAAGTCAGTCGTGAAATGTTTAAATGGCATTCCACCGTAAGTCAATACTGTTTAAAAAGTCAGTCGTTGAAATGTTTAAATGGCATTTCGCCGTATGTCAATACTGTTAAAAAAGTCAGTCATGGAATGCTTAAATAGCATTCCACCGTAAGTCAATACTGTTAAAAGTGCCATTCGTTAAATAGTTTAAGTAGCATTACATTTTCAACTTCAGTGTTAATTTAGCGTTACTTTTTAACACCCTGCAGTTTATTAATTGTCTAATAAATTTAAAGAAACCTAATACTGGCAAAACCAAGTGATCTTCAAAGTGTGAAAAGTCTAACTATAGTGGCCAACCTAACAGGTATTTAATTATAGTTGAACATCATGCTTGTTATAAATTCTCGGATTGGAATGGGAACTTGTGGAACCCCTTGACTATAAAGAGAGTGTCGCGTAACCTCTGTTACAAAGCATTGCTTCATGCAATGAGTTACTTATGTATATGCAAAATGGTATTATTAAACCACCCTTTTGAGTTGTTACCGATTTGAATGAGGCTATGAATAAAAATTCTATGATAGGGAAAGAGCTGCTTTATTTTTGAAATGACGGAAAGGCGGCATTTGCTTCTAATTGCCCAATTCAATGAATCACCACTAAGCTGAAATTTGTCACTTAATTTGCGATGATAACATAGCTAAAGCGCACTGGGCTTTACTGCCCAAAATATAAGAGAGGCAGTTAAACTATTTCGCAGGTTTTTTTTGAAGCCATTGCATGTTCATTGGAGTTCCGCCACACTAAAAAAATAAGATAATTTTGTTCTGCTGGATATTGGTTTGCTTTTATATATATTTGTAGTTGGGATTTTGTAGCTAAATAAACTATTGCACAGAGAACAGCAACTTGTCGAGTTCTGGGATGTTTCATTGGGGTTCCACTCCACCAAAAAGATTGAAAACTAATGCACTAGGCCAGGAATACACAACTGTCGGACCGGGGTCCCAGACCCTTCGTGTATTCGATTAGGACCGTATTTGATTCTTGATTTTGAAGCATTAATCGTATTAAATTTAGATATACGGAAGTTTCTTTTTAGTAAGTTTTGCGTACAATTCCAGAGGTTATTGAATCACTTTATAACAGTATAACCAAAAGGGTAAAGGCCCCAAAATTTATCTAGGCACATCGTGAAATATATTTTTTAAAACGACTTTGTTCAATTACTTAGTTTGAGGGTCTGTTTACGGATCTTCCGTAAAAATAGTTGAGTAGCGCTGCACTAGGCTATACCGCCCTCAAAACTAAAAAAAAGTGGTGCTCCCGAAGTATGCGAACCAAGATGGCGGACATCGGAACGTAACATGGGTAACAGGTTAGGGTTAGGCGATAATTTTTTTCCAATTTTCCTTATTTTAGTCCTATTATCAGTTCGAAGACTAGCCAAGAGCCTCCCGTAGTATTTATACCTAAAATTATGGCCTAACCCTAAACTAGTACACATATTACATTCCGATGTCCGCCATCTTGGTTCGCATACTTCGGGAGCCCCAAAAAAGGAATTTCTCATCACCTTGTTTCCGATTACACTCGGGAAGGTACGGAACTTCTCCGGGTGGTTGTTCAGATAAAACTGCAGAATTTTTCTGACGTCAGGATCCACTCCTTTGTCCAATGCCTCCACCAAGTGGCTAAACTTTTCCATGTTCTCAGCCTCGAATTGTTTTTCGCTGTGATGTTCAATGTGTCTGTTATCCTCTTCCTGTTATAAAACAACCATTTTTTAAATAAGTGACCGCCATCTTAGTTCACATACTACAGGAGTACCGAGAGACCTCCTGAAGTGTGCGCACCAAGACGGCGCACAACCTGAACTCAGGTTGTGTACCAGGTTAGGGTTCAGGTTAGGCGACATCTTGGTGCGCATACTACAGGAGTACCGTACCAAGCCTTGTGACTTTTACCCCATAATTTTATTCCAATTTTCCTTAGTTCTATTACGAGTTCGGAGACTCTAGCCTGGTACATATACTATGTTTCGGGGTCCGCCATCTTAGTTCACATACTTTATTAGTACCCAACCTTGTGTAAAAAAACATCAGAATACCGGGGTGGTCGCAAGCAGTGAATTTGAAGGTCAGAGGGGGTCTCGAATAAAATGCCTACTTACCTATTTCTTTCTCGATACGTTTTTATTTTTTTTTAGGTTCTAGAATGTTTTAGGTTCTATTTTATTTCTATTTTTGGGGCTCCCGAAGTATGCGAACCAAGATGGCGGACATCGGAATGTAATATGTGTACTAGGTTAGGGTTAGGCCATAATTTTAGGTATAAATACTACGGGAGTCTCTTGGCTAGTCTTCGAACTGATAATAGGACTAAAATAAGGAAAATTGGAAAAAAATTATCGCCTAACCCTAACCTGTTACCCATGTTACGTTCCGATGTGCGTCATCTTGGTTCGCATACTTCGGGAGCACCCTATGTTTACATCCATATCATGCAAGAAAGCCTCTAAAAACTGTTCGAAAATTTGTTCTTTGTAAAAATAAATGGTATCGAAGTATGCGAACTAAGATGGCGGACACCGGAACGTAGTATCTGTACCAGGTTAGGGTAAGGCTATAAATTTATTCCAATTTTATTTCCTCATTTTAGTTCTATTACGAGTTCGGAGACTAGCAAAGTGAATCCCGTAGTATTTTACCCTGTAATTTAGGCCTAACCTGGTACACATACTACGTTCCGATGCCCGCCATCTTGGTTCACATACTTCACGAATACCGAATAAATAACTGTTGACAAATTTTCTGTTTTTGGAGCGACCACCCTACATGTGTCACTTACAATTGCAGCTTCATTCAGTATGGTCTCAACTTCTTGTAGAGCGTGTTCTGGCGAGGGAATGTGCGTTTTGGTTGTAACGATGAGTTTCTGGGGAGATTCGGACATTCCGCCTTGCTTTGGATCCAATTCTGACATCACAAAGCTTTTTCTGCTTTTTTGGAATAAGAGATCCTCCGACTCCATACCTGTGTTTCATTAAAAATTTGTTAAAATTGAAATAAAAATGTTGTTTGAAGCAGTGCTCTACAGTCGGTAAAATTTTCGCTACTCCCAGAGTATGTGAACCAAAATGGCGGACAACGTAACGTAGTATGTGTACAGGTTATGGTTAGGCCATAATTTTATTCCAATTTTCCTTATTTTTTCTCTATTATGAGTTTGGTTACTAGCCAAGTGACTTCCGTGGTATTTGTATCCGAAATTATGGCCTAACCCTAGCATGGTACCCATCCTACGTTCCGGTGTCCGCCATCTTGGTTCACATAGTACAGGAGTACCAAATTTTCAAACGACTCCCGACTGCAAGTTGGAAAATTTGACTCCAGATCTGGAGTGATTAAAAGCACAATCTCAGTGAAAACGCACAAAGCTCCGATTCGATAAATATGGTTCAAATATTAGTTATTTATAAATGAGTATATTTTGATCTGGTGTATTACTTTTCGATCTCGATCGGTATGTTGATAGGTATTTGTCTGTCTGTTTTTTGTTTGTTTGTCTGTTAGACACTTTCGTATGTTACGCGATATCTGACATTACGCGATATATGACATTCATCATATCTCGGACCAGAAGCCTATTGATTTTGAATGAATTATGTCGTATAATTAGCGAGTTCTTTTTTATTTAATGATGGGAAACGGGGCGTCGCTATTGAGTCAGAGCGAAGAAATCGAAACCGCAGTTTCTGTATTTGGGGATTCCCTAACTTAAAAATAGCCCAAGAAATTAGTTGAGATTGCAATTAAATTTAGTTTTAGCACTAGGCTCATTGTTTTCCACTTTTGCTTATGTTACACTGAAAATAGGATTCAAAAAAATAGCGCGCCAAAAATATAAATGTCACGAGTTAAAAACTGCTGACTCGACATAAAACTGGATACTGCCGGAATATGTGAACCAAGTTGGCGGATACCGGAACGTAGTATGTGTACCAGGTTAGGGTTGGGCCATAAGTGTATCCCAATTTTCCTTATTTTAGTTCTATTACTAGTTCGGATACTAGCTAAGTGACTCCCGTGGTATTTGTACCTGGAATTATGGCCTAACCTTAACCTGGTACACATACTACGTTCCGGTGTCCGCCATCTTGGTTCACATACTTCGGGAGTACCCAAAAATTGCAGTTTTACTTCAAATATTTGTACGGAAGCTTGAGCAGGGTGATGGCCGAGCGTTTTAATCGTTAAACATAACTGTGTTATCATCGCAGATTACACATATCGGTTTAAATTCCCGCCTTCGCCTAGCCCAGGGCGTGATAAATTGGACAGAATAAACAATTCTCCCGAAGTAGGGATAGGATAGGATTTACATATTTACCCCGGGGGTAAGAAAGGCCGATAAGACGGCCCAATCATATGGCAAACCACGGTTTCTCGTCCGGTTACCAGTCCATGTCGGGTATGGGATTAGTTAGCCAGTTATTGGTTTTCGGAAGCATGGGCTTGATGGTGGAAGAAGCGGTTACGTGAACCACCCTACGGCGGCGAGGAGTCCAGCAATCCTCTGGCACATAATCATCCCCGCATGGGATTCGAACCTGCGATCCCACGAAGGGTGATCAGAGATGCGGTGGCGAGCGTATTCCTAACGCTTAGCACGATGCGCCACACCGCCGAGCCGAGTATGTGCACCAAGATGGCGCACAACCTGAAAAAAGTGTGTGTACGAGATTAGGGTTCAGGTTGTGCGCCATCTTGTTGCACATACTTCGAAAGCGCCCGATAGTAGCTCTTCACATATCCTTAAATGCCAGGGCTAGGACTAGGGTTGCCAAATAAGTGTTGAACCATTCCGGGACACTGTAATATTTAGATTATAGAATTTGAAAATTGATGCACGAAAGACAAAAGTAGCAGTGCGCGTTGCGCATTAAAGAGCGATGATGATGCAGAGTTATTTTCACAAATTCCGAGCTTCTAAATAATTTTATCATAATCAGAGAAACTTGTGAAATGTTGAATCTTTGAGGCATAAATGCAAAAAACACTCAAACAGGGAAATGTACAATTTGTGATAAGTAGCTTTAATCATTTGACAAAAACAGAATTCAGTAGCCCATCGCGAGACACGAGACGCCAGAGGCTAATTCCGGGACGGTTGGTAGCCCTATCTAGGACTGGGCATTTTGAACCGAATAATACATAATTCGAATCGTTTCAGACAAAAATTTCGAATCGCAGCTATTTTGTTTTTGATTGCCAAAGGGTGAGGTTTTATTTCTCAATTTTTATCATGCAAATCTAACATATATATAGGGCTGGGCATTTTGAATCGAATATTCGAATCGAATGGTGAATCATTCGAATCGGTTCAGATTAAAATTTCGAATCGCCGCCATCTTGTTTTTTCCTTACCGCCAATGGTCGACGTGAATTTCCTAATTTTTTCCTATTGTAGCCATATTTTTTCAATGCAATTCTGACATATGACTATTTTTGTAATGAGTTATTGATAAAACGTGTTTGTTATTCTGTGTGAACGCTCAGCAATCTGTCTGAGTGATGTATTTTACGTTTTGAGTAATTCATTCGTTGAAAGGGCCAATTATAATACAAAAAATCGCATGCAATTACACGTCTTCCAAGTGTTCGAAATTCGATTCGATTCGAAAAAAAAATATTCGGTTCGATTATTAAATCATCGAAAATTCCCTGCCCTAATCAGGGCTGCTTGTCCATGGTCTTGTTAATAAAACAAAATAATACCTGACACCAGTCCCATAAAATACGACAAAATCCAGCATGCGTGTGTGATTCCGGTAAATTCCACTGCAATACAGGCCCAGTACGCCGGCTTCATCAACCAGAAGTTGAGAAAATGAACGGGGTACTTTGAAGCGACAATTTGTGGCATCAGTTGTGCGACGATTACAACGAGAATACAAGTAATGAAGCCCGTCTCTAAAAGGCTGTACTGAAATTAATAAACATTTAGTTTATTATGGTATTATTAGTATGAGTAACGTGAACTACAGCTGACAATTAGCTTTATATTTGGCGCTTCGAAAATTATGTATAAAATTTATTCAAAGCACGACATGTTAAAGTAGCTTACGTTATGACATACAAACGCTTTCTGCCCTCTCCAGAAAAAAAAAGAATTTGCTCTGTTCTAAAACAATTTACTGGCTTACTATATCAATAATCCTTTCTCCAAATAAACCACAGATAAAAATGCGCAATTATAAAGCTTGGACAGATTCTACAGCGAAGTCAGTCTGTAGAGTAGTTCTTTAAAATATTGTTGGATATCAGTGACAGCTTTATCTAGCCTTGCTCAGAGGAAAGTCACGAGTAAGCGTGGTATTAGGTCCGTGAGTCAATACACAAACAAACAAAAAAATCTGTCTCCTGCCCAAATTTGGGCTGGCTTCGATCTTGAATAAGGGAACCCTGCGTTAGTGATTTAGCCAGGTGCTCCCGTAGTATTCGTATCAAGATGGCGCACAACCTGAACATAGTATGTGTACCAGGTTAAGGTTCAGGTTGTGCGTCATCTTGGTATGAATACTTCCGGAGCGCATTTCGACCACATCAATGATTGCAAGTATTAAAAATACTAACAGCGCAATAGATCTATTTGTAAATAAGAGATAAAAAAAATAATAATACTTTAGACCAGTTTTTCTCAATCGGTGGGACGTATTTTCTTTCGCTCTACTGTTATTTGTAGCTTATGGATAGCTAGTTATTTTTGAGGTGGGGTGCGAGACTTGACAAATTCTAAAAAGAAGGCGCAGCTTAAAAAGTTTTCAAAATCACTGCTTTAGGTACTTACATACAGCCATGCAGGCACGGGGAATAGAAAGTCGTTGAGGTCGTCGCCAAGATCAATCGTCGTTAATTTTGCGATGAAAAACACTAAGAAGACGACGAATACCTAAAGATTGAAAATAATGTTAAAAATGAAATTGCAACTATATACAGACTACATTGATCTTCCGGGTCAAAGGTCGAGGAATGAGTGTTTAGGATTTTATAATAGAATTCTCGTGTTTAACCTGGGCAGAGAAAAATCGTAATCAGGTGTAATAATACGGCGAAACAGGGCGTCTCGTCTGGCCGACCCCGGCCCCCTCTTGTTCGAGACGAAAATGAGATAGTGGAACCGAGAGAATGTTCATAAATTCTCTTTACAATTTAAATTTTGTTACGAAGTCAGTTTTAAATACATCTTACCCAGTTTTTTTTATCAGTACTTGTTTAAGTATTTCTAATTCATTTGTGAAAGCCAAAACAATATATGGTATCGATAAATTCCCTTGTATGACTTTATGGACACCCTATATCTATATATACGCAGTGGTGGTATTGAGAGGGTAGACACAGGTTTGTTCGGAACTGTTCTGGATTCTCGTGATAATAGGCGAACTTGTCCTTGTTTTTAGAACTATAAGTTCGGCATGGTTTTTTGAATAAGGGAACCTGTTGTTAGTAAGTTCGAGATAAAGAGAACCCGTTCTTAATTTTTGAATCGCGTCACTGTATATATATATATATATATATATGACTCAGTAGTGTGCCAAATTGTGCTAAGCGTTAGGAATACGCTCGCTACCGCACCTCTGATTACTCTGCGTGTGTCCGCAGGTTCGAATCCCATGCGGAAATTGTTATGTGCGAGAGGATTTCTGAATTCCTCACCGCCGTAGGGTGGTTCACGTAACCGCTGGTCGGTTACGGCTTTCCTCACCATCAAGTCCATGCGTCCGAAAACGAATAACTGGATAACTAATCCCGTACACGACATGGAATGGTAACCGGACGAGAGACCGTGGTCTACCAAATAATTAAGCCGTTTTATCGGCTTTCCTCTCCCCCGGGATAAATGTGTAGATCCATTCCTATCATATATATTATGTTCTTGTCACTGACCTGCCTTCCCATCAAAAACCTTTCCACATTGTCTTTTTTACTCGCAACTTGGCCAAGCTGGTAGGCCCGTGGATGACTGAACTTATAGGAGTCTGGGTGCTGACGTTTCAGCTCTACAAGAGCGATCTGTAGGCCTGTGATATACATGAACAGATTAATGGAAAATGATGAATCGGCAAAAAATTATAGTTTACTTGAACTATTTGTAAAAACGCATATAATCTTACTTTCAAGTATAATCTGATGTAGGACATTTAGGGCTTTGAGATTGTTATGCTTGATCTGAGTTCGATTATGACTTAAGATAAATATTCCTTATATTAGTGTTTTACAACTGGGGATAGATTTTATTATTTTGGGGAGGAAATATTTCTGTGTATCCGTTGTGGTATTACTAATGCGATGCGTATTTATGCAATCTTTGCAGGAGAATGGCCAGGGTGTGCGTGAGTAGCAACCCTCCTATTTATAGAAGTAAATTGATTGGTAGATTCCAAATCCCATTATGTTCAAAAAATTCGTGCTCAACAAAGTGAAACACCCCGTCAAATGACATTATCAAGAAATGAAAGAGAAGAATAAAATTTTTATGATAAGCGGTATGCCCCCCCCCCCCCAATTGCCCCGTGGCCCCCGTGGCTGATAACCGCTGATTTAAATATTAAACAAACGATGTAAACAGAGTTCTTATGTAAAGTGAAGTGAAGGAGGAATAAAGTCATACAAAATAAGCAAAGGCGAGAATATATCAAAAAAGGTAATAAACGCTTTATTAAACGAAACGTAAATATAAAGTATTAAAATAATAATAAACAAGTCACCTTCTACTATTCCTAATATGGCCAAGTCCACAACAAAGAGCGCGAACGCGGCAGGACCAGGGACCTCTTCCCAAAATCCAGTTTTTCCACGGAAAATTGCATATGACGTCACAACGATAGAGAAAATAAGAAGACAGATGCTGAAGACGAAACGAACATAGTCGAAAGGTTTTGCTTGGCACACCTCGACCATGGTAATTGCTGACTTCTACAACATTAAACTAAAACTAAAACAACTGGAAACGAAGAACAAAACGGTTAAGATAAAAAGCTAGAATGACATTCCTTTGGATGGTACAATGGCTCAGCGGCTAAAACCTTTTACCTCACTTACTTTACTTTACTGCGTTTGCATCGCAAATAAGCATCTCTCATTTACCACCATGACATCCCCTCAACTCTGGAGCAGTGGTTCTCAAACTTTTAAGGCCGCACCCGTTTTTAAAATTTGTCAAGTCTCGCGGCCCACTTCAAAAATAACTTACCCACAATAAGCTCGAATTCCAGATAGTATAGCGAAAGTACGTTTTATTAAAAAAACTAAATAAAGAAATGCAAATATCCAAAATAAGAAGGGCAAAATGAAATCTAGCAAATTTTTATATTTTTAATTAGTTTCGCGTCTCCTCAAAAATTGTCTAAATTGCCCCCCTTGTGGCTATATGTTCAAATAAAACATCTTACTAGGATAAAAGTCTGTTTTGGATATTATTAATATCATCGTTGCTAATTTTGTTGGGATCCGCACTCGTCTATTTCACTTTTCCAGCCTCAAACTGATTTGTCATACATACAGCACCGAATTTATGATAAAATCTGATTCGTAAATCGTTTCGTTGTAACACAATTCAATTTTGATTTTAATAAATGCTTTGATCTTTTAATTTTATCGTTTTCCACAATAGCCAAGACCTTTTGAACTCTATAAAGTTTGATATCACTGTTTGCTATTATAACATAACAAAAAATCATAGCAAATTATTAACATTATTACCGTTTTATGCTGTGCTTTCTCTCAACAAAGCTCCGAAAAAGAAACCATTGATAGATACTAAATGTCTTGGCAAATTGGATAAAATTGTTTTGTTTCTCTATCGTGATACATTTATGCTTGACTTTCGTTTGTTGATTTTTTACCATTAAACGTGGCGAATGAAATAACTGATAAAAATTGGTAATGTTAACTAGATATTTTTTATAGAAAAGCAAGGGGTCACGGGGTACTGGAAGCTTTTGGAACATGGACATGGATCACAAACATTTGAAAACCACAGATCTATTCAATGCTCATATTCTCCACATACGAGTAGAGAATAGGTAGGTAGTGATTTCGGTACTTCCGTAGTGTGGTACCAGGTTAGGGTTAGGCCGTAATTTTATTTCAATTCTCCTCATTACTTATCGATCTTAAGATCGGTAAGTATGTTGATAGGTATTTGTCTGTCTGTTTGTTTGTCTGTTAGATACACGCGATATCTCACGAAAACGAGGTTTAATCTGCTCCAAATTTTGCATGTGCATTCATCATAGTTCGGAACAGAAGCCTATCGATTTTAGATGGATTATATCGTATAATTAGCGAGGTATTAATTAATTAGTGATGGGACACACGGTGTCACTATGAAGTAAGACCACTGTTTTGGGGGATCCCCTAACCTTCGATCGATAAGTCTTCGGTTTCCAACCGAATTCTAGTTTTAGTTTTATTACGAGTTCGAGGACTGTTCGTGTTAGGCAAGTGAATATACCCCCTGCCCATAGGTTCAGTTCCTCTACATAATTTGATGTAAAGTAGGCGAATAAAATTAGTTACCTCCATATTGGTACACACACCGTCAATTGTACTTAAAGATCTGATATTGGTACGTAATACCAACATATCGTGATAACAACGACTGAAGTATAGTTTTCATTAATACCGAATGATCACTTTTTGACTTCAAAATATTGTGGAATTCCATTCAATCAAGATTTTCCGTAACATAGTTAAATTGACTATCTTTTAATTAAGTCTAGCATAAGTTGCTTGCCACTCATTTATCGACAAGCTTTTCGTTGTAAAAAAATAGAAACTATTGGGGGAATCCTTGCATAAAATACACCAATTCAAACTTACTTCAGATAAGATTTTTTTTAAAAAAATTGAAATTGATCGCTCGTTGCACGAAGCCTTGTTAATAGGGAAAGTGTAAAAACGCCTCGAAATTAAAATGAGAATATCGGTTGGAGACCGAAGACTTATCGATCGGAGGTTAGGGGATCCCCTAAAACAGCGTTCTTACTCCATAGTGACACCGTGTGTTCCATCACTAATTAATTAATAACTCGCTAATTATACGACATAATTCATCGAAAATATTCTGATCCGATCTATGATGAATGCACACGCAAAACTTGGAGCAGATTCAACCTCGCTTTCGTGAGATATCACGTGCATCTAACAGACAGACAAACAAACAAACAGACAAATATCTATCAACATACTCACCGATCTTAAGATCGATAAGTAATTAATACTTAATACGGGTGGCATGGAACGTATCGTACGGCATTCCCTAACAGTTTTGCTTGGGTTACTTCAGGTCTCGTGCCATCACTACCACAAATATATATTCATACAAAAATTTCCGTCCAAATTTTATAGTAATACCAATTGTAAGTTTGAATAATTTTTAGACCTCCTGAAGTATGCGCACCAAGATGGCGCACAACCTGAACTCAGGTTGGGTTCCAGGTTGTGCGACATCTTGGTACGCATACTTCAGGAGTACCTAATTTTCATTGTATGATTAATGAGAAATACAAGCACAATGAGAACTATTGATAAACAAAGACAAAAACACATTCAATTGTTATTATTATGAAATCGAGCAATCCTTATGGACACCCTTCATATGATTCTTAGCAAGTCAAACTAACCCCAAAAGGTTCTTTATATAATTAGTTAAAATTAATTGTCTGCTTTCACATGGCCTTGTTCAGAGAGGAATTTGTAAAAGGCTCTTAAATTATAATTAATAACAACTGATATGAATATGATTAATCATTTGTCTGCTTGTGAGGAGCCATTTCCAGAGGAAATATGTTAAACTCGAAATCAAAATTAACAACAATTTATATGTGTGGCATCAAATTACAGCGTCCCGTCGACCTTGTTGACTATACAGTCTTGCACACTATCGAAATCTTGGGGTCAAATAGAGTTCAAAATTGCATGAACTTATAACCTTCAATTCAATATGGGTTAAAATGTTGCTCATGATATAAATAATATATGTTTTATTGCTCCATCCGTTCATAAAAAATCATTTATTAAAACCCTAATTTGTATAAAATATGATCGACTCATGCATGGGCCAAACAAAATAATCAAATATTATTATTTTTAATGAGGTGCGATAAACGAACGTATAAAATACGAAATGCTATTTATGACGTTTTATCACTGTACTTTGGAACTTTCAAATTTTAATTGCATGTATATGAAAAACAAATACCTCACACGCCTTGAGCACACAATTCACGTCTGTAGTGCATGGGGTACATTCTGGTCGTTTATTAGAAATCATGGTTCACATTAAAAATTACCTCTTCATAACGTTTCGTCGTACTTTGGAACTTATAAATTTTAATTGCATAAAATGCAAAAAATATACGTGTATTGGATAGACGTGGCGGCCATGGCAAAATTTTAAAACGCATGCCTTTAATTATTTACTACTACCATGATTGTTGTTTAATTGAGACGCTTTTACGTTTTTATTTAGTTATAAATACGAGTTGAAATTATTTATATTTTGAAATGGCTCAGCCATGACTGCCATACCCTAGAAACGCCACTGCGTTGTTTTTTCAAAATATCTTAATTTAGTTTTTCTTTTTTGGTGGAAAAAACAAATACATAACATGCTTTGAACACAAAACTTCCGGCTGTAACTTTGGTTGTACATCCTGGTTTAAATTTGAGATGGCTCAATAAAATGAAATGGAGTTTTAATCAAAGGTTGTATTTACTTCGAAATAAATATTGATGACGTATATCAGGGGTGAGCTACAATCGCGGGCCATGTAAGTGTGACGTAAAGAGATACATTTTATGAATAATATTTACAGTGTTACAGAAGCAAAACTGGAAAACAATATGCCTCGTGCCAAAACTAAATTTAATTGCAATTTCAACGAATTCCTTGAGCTATTTTTAACTAAAACATCGAAATTTAGTTTTAGTTTGTTTGCGGCATCAGGCGGGACAGATTGAATTACCCAAAGGGCCGGTGTTGGCCCGCGGGCCGTAGTTTGTACATGCCAGACTTAGATACTTGGAATCATGTTTCTGTTCGTTATTTTTACTTTTTCCGGTCCGAACAAGGCTCTGTGCAAGCAACTACTGACGCTAATAATCCTACTATTTTCAGAAGTAAACGCATATTTTCTTATTTGAATCTCAAACCTAAATCCGACTTTAAACCCAAAGTAGACGTTTTGCCTACACTACGAGTCGACAGCCTTTAGCATTACAAAGCCATTTGGCATCCTTTCAATCAAACTCAAACTTACTCGGAGCGAAACTCTCGGAAAACCACTAATGATCCAATATTCTAGTTCTTACTATAAAAAAGCCGGATAAATTACGAACAATGCAATAATTCAGTTTACGACAAAATGAAAACAACTTGTAAAATAAAAAAGTTTGTTTTTACATATTTGAATCATTTCAATGCGACCTATTCTCACTGTTTCTAACAAAAAAATGCTGCAGCCACTTCGATTCACGGGAGTCAGAGATCCGAGGACAAAGAGCCGCAGGTTGCCGATCGCTGGCCTATTCTCTCACTGTGAACAAGATTCGGCGCTCCAGAAGTATGTGTACCAATACGGAGGTAACTAATTCTGTTCGCCTATTTTACTTCAAGTTGTGTAAAGGGACTGAAACTTGTATTCACTTGGCTAACACAGACAGTCCTCGAACTCGTGAACTAAAAAAGGAAAATCGGAATAAAATTATGGCCTAACCCTAACCTGGTACACATACTATGGGAGTACCCAAGATTCTGTACAAACAACCATTTAAAAGTGAAAAAATACTATTCTCGTAAGAACCACAATCCTTACAGTTTTTTTTTAATCACATATTGTCTACCAAATTTATTACACCCTGCTGGGTGAGGTAAAGCCCAGATTTTTAACACTCATTGGCAATATAGTAAGACTCTAAATATTATTCACAACGATCTAAAAGAAAGTGCCAAAATCTGGCTATT